TTTTTATAAGGACACTATCTGAGGTGATTCTAACTAGTGTGGGAGCCATCCTGAACTAGATAATCACCAAGGACCCTTCCAGTTTTATCATTCTGTAATTCTTTGACCAGTACAGAGCTTCTCAGCTGTAACATTTCCATATGAGCCATTTAAATAGTCTCCTAGGTCACCTTTCTTAAGTAGGGGCTCCCCACCTGTTGGAGAGGAAGGAATTGATACCCTTTTCACTTAGGGGAAGAGAAATTGCAATATCAGTAACTTGTCTTACTCTCAAACTCATGTTCTTTCCTCTTAAAATTCTGCCTCAGTCTCAAGACGCTTAGACTTTGGCTGCTTTCCTGGACAAGTGGGCATGAAAGAGGCTTGGTTGGTTCTGGGCAGTGTTACTTTAATAAACATTTTCTAGCGTCCCCTATATCTGGGCATGGTGCTCTCATTAGTGTTCTCATGTGTAGCCTCATTGGGTAGGTCGAATGTCTGCATATACTCCAGTTGTCATAGATATTAGTTGAGCATCAGGGTGCAGTGCTTGTGATAGGCTCCATAAATACTGCAAATAACCTATCTTGGCAAACATTTGTTGAAAACTAACTGCTGCACATGTGCTAGGAATATAGATGAGGTATGCAGCTTCTCTGCTGTGTATTCCTATTTTACATGTCCTTCAGTTTTGCAGGTCACATAGCAAAGAGGCTTAGTCCTCACAGTGTCTGTAATGCAAGTTCTTTGAGAACACCACAAGATCTCTTGAAATATGGCATTTTGGGAATGTGCCAACTATAAAATTACATTATATGCTTTAATTTTAAAAGCAGTTTGAGCTGTATAAATTCAAAGCATCTGAAAGCAGAGTTGACATTAGAGGAGAGAATAATCTCAAATAGGGAATTTTCATGACTTGAGAGAAACAGAATCTATCAACAGAATCTTAAAAGTCTTTTGAACAGAATAACCACAAAAATTCCTTGTCCTATTTAAGTCAAGTGAACAGATATGATGTGGGGGTG